AGATAAAATTAAGTTAATTAAATTGAACTTCCGTTCCCCCTTGCCCTTCCGTTCCGCTTCCCTTCGCTTCTTCTCTCCCCTCTCCGCCCCCTTTCCGCCTTCCCGTTTTCCGTTCCGCTCGCTGCCCGTCCGTCCCCCCGTTTTCGTCCTTTCCCCCCCGTTCGTTTTCCGCTCCTTCCTTTCGCTTTTCCGTTCCCTTCGCTCCCCTTTCCGCTCCTTTTTTTTGCTCCCCCGCTTTTTTGTTGTTTTCCGCTCCCTTCGTTTTCGTTTCTCGTTTCTTTTCCCCCCTTCGTTTTCGCGGCTTTTTGCGATCTTCGTTTCTTTACGTTTCCGTAAGTTTCCGTCGGTTTTGGTGGTTATTAGATTTTTTTAAGTTTAAGTAGGTTTTAAGTAAGATAATTAGTTGTAGTTTAGTTTAAGTTTGATTCTTGTAGGATTTAAGAAAGATGCTGAGGATTTATCGATGCTTGTTTCACAAAACTTCAAAGTTGAGATAATTATTCCGAATGATTCTTGTTCGGTTTAAATTTATATTCAAATCCAGTGATAGAATTAAACAGATTAAATTAACAAATCTTGATGTTCAAAATTGAATCATATAGTTATGTTCCGGATGAAAATTTCCTTTCCAAACCTATGCACAAAAAAATCCTTAAATATGGTCACAAAATTTTAAATTTTTATTGTTTACCTTAACTTCCTTCACGAAACCGTTTACTTCTAAAATCAGTAATCCCACAAAATTATATTTTAATATAACGGATATTCTTATAAATAGTTTATTTCCGTTTTGCAGTATTAAAATTTTATTTTCAAATGAAAAAAAAAAAGTACAAATTTTTCAATACATACAAAAGTTTGTATAAAATTGTTATTGGAAAATTTTAAAGTATTTGAAACCCAATAAACAATTTGAAAACACATAGCCCTCACACCTTGTATGCATTAATTACGTGCTTTTGCTTTACTTACCTTGTTTGAGGTTATGTTGAATGAAACTGTTGGAGACAGGCTTAAGTTTGATATTATAAATTGTTCAGGTCGCTCCAACGTCGTATATGCGGTATTGGAGGTCTCTAACAGAACCAACTTGGTAAGTTTTAAGTTTTTTAATAGTTTCCCACAAAGTTTAAGAGTAAATAAGGTCGTATCGCTACAACGTTACAAGTAATAAAATATACTTGGTTTCCTATTTTTGTCAAAACCATCTGGTCTTGTAGTAATTATGTGCCTATAGGTATAACCTTTTTGTTTACTTCATCTAAATTATATCGAGGGACTATATTCAATAGTCGCTATCTCTCATTTTTATGAAAATGAGATTTTGATGGCAAAATATTCAGCAAACTATCGCGCATCAGTGATATAAATGTCAAAGAAAAAAAAAATATTTTTTGGCAATTTTATAGCATTTTTTAAATTTCTCTATCTTAAAAAAATAAAATTCTGAATGCAAAACTCTCTATCTTATCCAAAAATTGCTTCAAACTCGATCCCTTTGGATAATTTTCTGTTGCAAAACAAGTCTTCTTAATAATTTGGACATGCTGAACACAAATCCGTCAAAATATTTAAAATCGGTCTAAAGGTTTTGAGATATCGCTCATTATGATACTAATTAAATCAATCTTCACGAACTAGCGAAATAAACAGTTTTTTTGCTCACCTGAAAACTTGTATTATTTTAGATAGAGACTATTGAATATAGTCCCTCGATATATAGTTCTGTCCATAATTAGTCAAACCTCCAAAAATAAGGGTTTATATCGTATTATGTTGAAAAACTAAATACCAATTAGTATTAGAATTTAGAATCAAATAAAACCCAAATTAATTTCAAAAGTGAAATCATAGAATTTTCACAAATATGTTTTGCAAATATTTTAATAATAAAAGCTACAAAAACACCAGCTTTTTAGTATTTTAAAAAAATTCTTTATTTATAAATCTTAAATTTAACAGAAAATTAGACTATAATGTAGGTATATTTTAGCATATAAATCATTTGTTTTCATTACATTTAATAAATGTTTATTTGTATATTTAAATATATTTAAGTACATGTAAGAAATAACGATAACATATCGATAAAAATTAATAAAACTAACTAAAGTTTAACTTTATACGATTTATAAGCAAACACTCTCGCTTGACCACAGCTTACGAGAATAAATTCTCGTCAAAAAAAACACAATACGATAACTATTTGATAAAGAACGTAAAGTGCCCGCTTAAGTTTTAATTTAATTTTTTATATTCAAAGCTACTTAACATTTCTAATTTCTTAAATATTTAAGACTAAATATTAAAAGAATTATTAGCTACAGCAAACATTTGAAACATTTTTTTTTAATATTCTACATATTTAATATAAAATCTAATGTTTCTGTAAGCGAATAACAAATTTTCATTATTTTAAGTTTGCAATTCAAAAACTTGTTTACAAGAAATTTGGTTTTGATATAAAATTTTGATAAGTAGTATTATTTTCATAATAACC